AAGGCCGATACCGATAGGGGGCCGATTATATCGTGCATTCCTACTATCCGCCATGATGGATGAAAAACAGCAACTAGGGTTGTCACGATACTAAAATGTTCAACTCGATCCGATACTCAGGAAAAGTAGTTGATGCTCGATACCATTTTCGATTCCACAAAGACCCCAAAATTTTATAAATAAAATACAAAAAAATAAATAAATACAATAAACAATAAGAACAATATTTTGAGGTTGTTTGCTGTGCACAATATTAAGCAACCTCGATACAAGACTAATAAAATTAACTTAAGTGTTCCTTCCTTGGCTTTGCTTTGCTCACATAACAATGACTCTAGCTAAACCAGTTAAACAAAAATAATTTTTAGCAGCTGCACCTGTTACAGAAAAAGTCTTAAACTGTAAAATGCACAGAATTATTCAATCACAAAAGTGCATTTTCCTCTATTCTGCACTTTAGATGAATGGCTGTTTAGGTGCCACTGGTGGTGGCACTGTATCAATACTTTTGAAAATAAGTATCGTGTCGGGATACAACGTTTCAGCATCGATACTTTTTTGAATATCGATACTTTTGACAACACTAACAGCAACAGAGGATTAAAAAGCTGAGCTGAAGAAACTAAAAGCTTCCTGGAAATGGAGGGAAAGTTAGAAGTACCCCCCCTCCCAAAAAAAAGACTTAGTAAAGTAAAAATACAAATAAAAAGTAATTAAGTAACACAGATATACGCCTTGTAGACGTGCAGCTCAGGAATGGATCGACTCTGGTTTATAAAAGGAGAAAAATCTTTCTGAAAATGACGGCGGTGAGAAAAGAGGTCGACTTTCAACGCTCCGCCATCAGCTGCACCACACAGACATCAGTCCCACGTTCTCACTGGTGCCCATTCAGTTCAAACTGGTATTTCCAAACCAGTTTGATTTTTTAGGTTCTTTCATATTCAGAAACGGTTTAATTCAAACATTTTTATTGGTTTATCTGCAGAGAAAAGCCTGGAACCATCAGGCTGTTAAAGTTTCCAGTTGTTTAAACGTGTCGGACCCCCCCCCCCCCCCCTACAGGGTTTGGTTAGGAAGGTTTATTTACTCTGACCTGCTGCTTGTGACACAGTCACTGTTGGTTTGAGGTTTAAATCCCTGTCGGATGAATAAAGTGATGCTGTGGGCTCCGCTTCCCCCTGTTCCCGAAAGAGAGGAGGGGGTAACCATGGCTACCAGTGACTCAGCAGCTCTCAGTCCGTCATAAGCCCAGCTTCATCGCTTCCGTTCAAAAAGTTATTCTTTTAGATTTAGTCTCTGAGAAAAGATCCATTTCTGTTGTCCCGTCACCATGGAAACAGGATACAGTCCTATTTCAGTCCTGCTGTTTTCCCTCCACCCACACCCACCCGCCCACACCGTGTAGCAGCGCCTCTTTTCTCCGTCTCTTCCTCTCTGCTGCCATCCGGCCTTTTCTCCAGCCGTCAAACGAGCAGAGAGGAAACCGAGCGCCGCTGCCAAGCCGCGTTTCCACGCATTTCCACTCTTTCATCAGCTTCCAGCTTTCTGAGACCTGTCAGAGGCTCATGAGGGGAATGTGGGGGGAAAGTCTGGAAAGCAGAGGGTGGTTGGGTTTCTGCGAGGGGCTGACGGAGGTCGGCGGTATGGAGGGTGTCGGCGCTGTGAAAGGAGCCGTGGAGAAAGTTTGAGGGTTTGCATGAAGCCAAAAACGCCTCCAGATGAAACGGAAGAATCTGACAGCGAGCGGCTGTTTCCAAGATGCAGAGGCAGGAAATAAAGAGCAGCGGCGTTAGAGAGCGGCGCTGCTCCAGGTTCACCTTCTACCAGCGGCATTCTGGGAGAGCTGGAAGGAGCATTTAATTATGACCGACTTAGAGTGAATAACGTTACAGGAGCTCAAACAGCCATGATCCAGTTAAACCATCATGAATCCAATTTCTAGGAAATATTTATCCAATAAAACATTATTTTTCCTAAATGTTCATGTAGTGATGTTATTGTTTGCTAAGATGGAAACATGGGATATTATTATTAAGATCAGGCGTCCCCAGTCGGTCCCTGAGGGCCGGAGTCCTGCAGGTTTTAGATGTTTCTCTGCAGGTTTTAGATGTTTCT